CTTTGAAGCTTTGAAGCCAGGCATTGACTTCTCTCTAGCTGTGAAAGTCCTATATAGCATCTTCTTCCAGTATAAGGCTGTTTCCTCTACAAAATGTGTTGTTTAGCATAGCCACCTTCATGAATTATCTCAACCAGATCTTGTGGATCACATGCTGCAGCTTCTACCTTGGCACCTGCACTTCTATGTTACGGAGATGGCTCTTTCCCTCAAACCTCATGAGCCAACCTCTGCTAGCTTCAAACTTTTCTTCTGCAGCTTCCTCCCCTCTCTCAAACTTCACAGAACTGAAGACTTAGGGCCTTTTGCTCTGGATTAGGCGTTGTCTTACGGGAATGTTGTGGCTGGTTTGGTGTTCTATCCAGACCACTAAAACTTTCTCCATATCAGCAATAAGGTGTTCTACTATCTTATCATTCATGTGCTCACAGGAGTAGCACTTTTAATCTCCTTCAAGAACTTTTCCTTTGGATTCAGGATTTGGCTGACTGGTGCAAGAGGCCCAGCTTCCAGCCTGTCTTGGCTTCTGACATGCCTTACTCACTAGGCTTAATCATTTCTAGCTTTTGATTTAAAGTGAGAGATGTGCAACTCTTCCTTTCCCTTGGACACCTAGGAGCCAGTGTAGGGTTATTAACTGGCCTAATTTCAGTATTGTGTCTTGGTAATAGGGAGGCCTGAGGGGAGAGAGAGAGACTAGGGAAAGGCAGGTCAGGGGAGCAGTCAGAACCCATACAACATTCATCAGTTAAGTTCACCATTATATGGGTACAGTTCATGACACCCCAAAGCTATTACAATAGGAACTTCAAAGATCTCTGATCTACAGGTCACCATAACAAATATAATAATAATAATAATGAAAAAGTTTGAGATTCTGCAGGTATTACCAAAATGTGACACAGAGAGACAATGTGAACAAATACTGTTGGAAAATGGCACAGAGAAACTTCCTTGATGCAAACCTTCAGTTTGGAAAAAATGCAATTTATCTGCAAGCACAATAAAGTGGAGCACAATAAAACAGGGTATGCCTGTGTTTAGTTTCCAAATATTTGGACATTTTCCAGAAATCTTTATGTTAATGACTTACAATATCACTTGTGGTCAGAGAATATAATTTGTATGACTTGAATTCTTATCAATTTATTGAAACTTGTTTTATGACCTACAATAGAATCTGTCTTTGTTAATATTGGTATGCTCTTGAAAAGAATGTGTATTCTGTTCTCCTTGGGTAGATTGTTCTAGTAAATGTCAAATCAAGTTGGTTGATTATGAAGTTCAAGCCTTTTATATCCTTTGCTGATGTTCTGCCTACTGGTGTATCAGTTATTCAGAGCAAAGTATTTAAATCTCTGACTATAATTGAGGGTCACTTAATTAACCATCACTTGGGATGGTTATGTCCTCTGGACTAATTAATCTTTTATCATTATAAAATTACCTTCTCTACAATAATATTCTTTGCTATACAATATACTTCAATATTTATAGACACTCCAAGTTTGTTTTTGACTAATTTTAGGATATTTTTTCCAGACTTTTATTTTTAACCTAGTTGTCTTTTTCCATTTAAAGTGAATTTCTTGTAGGCAACATATAGTTTGGTTTACAGTTTTATCTGTTTTATCAATGCCAACCTCTTAATTGGGATGTTTAGACCATTTGCATGTAATATGCTTATTGATATAGTTAGATTTCAATCTATCACCTTGCTATTTATTTTCTATTCATCTCATCTGTTCTTTGTTCCTTTTTGTCTCTTTTTTCTATTTTTTACTGAATTATTTTTATTTCCTTTGTTGGCTTATTACCTATAAGTCTTCATTTTATTTTAATGTTTGCTATAGGGCTTATCTCAGTCCACCTTCAAGTAATATATTACACTTCACAATTCTATTCCTTCTCTCCTAGTCTTTATGATACTGCTGTCATACATTTCACTTATACATGTTCTAAGTCCCACTATACACTATTATTTTTTTGTTTAAATAGTTAATTATCTTTTAAAGTGAATTAAATAATAGGAAAGCAGTCTTACATATTTGCCTGTGTAATTAACATTTCCATTTCTCTTCATTCATTGGTGCAGGTCTAGATTTCCATTTGCTATCATTTTCCTTTCATCTGAAAGACTTCCTTTAATATTTCTTTGAGAATTGAACATCTGCTGGTAATGAATTTGTTCAGATTCCATTTTTGAAAGACATTTTCACTGGTTCAGAATTTTAACCTGAAAACTCTCCCCTACACACACACACATGCCCCATCCACATACTATAAATATGTTATTTCATCTTTTCCTCAGGTGCTTTCTCCTCCAAGAAATCTACTGTCATTCTTTTCTTTCTTGTTATACTAATGTACCTTTTTTTCCCACTACTATTAAGATTTTTCTCTTAATCATGGCTTTGAGCAATTTGGTTATAATGTGTCTTGGTGTAGTTTTCTTTATATTTCTTTTGTTTAGTGTTCATTGAGCTTCTCAGATCTCTGACTTTCTACCTTTCCTTAAATCTGGAAAAGTTTTGCCTATTATGTCTTCAAATATTTCTTCTGTCTTCATTACAATTTTCTTTCCTTTAGGGACTCAAATTACATATATATTAGACAACTTGAAGTTGTTTCACAGCTCACTGATTTTTGTTTTTGACATTGTATTGCTCTGGCTGCAAATTCACTCACCTCTTCATCTGTAATATCTAATTTGTCATTAATCCCATCTAGTGTATTTTTCATTTTACATATAATTTTCAAATCTAGAAGTTCAATTTGGGTCTTGAGTATCTTCTATGTCTTTAAACTTTTTTAACATATGGAATACAACCTCTACTTAACTTTTAGAATATACAGAATACAATTATAATAACTGTCTTACTTTCTCTATGAACTTACCATCTGTGTCAGTTCTAGGTCAATTTTGATTGATTATTCTTCTCATTATGGCATCTTTTCCTGCCTCTTTGCATGCCTGGTAATCTCTGACTGGATGTCAGACTTTGTAAATTTTACCAAGTTGGGTGCTGGCTTTTTTTTGTACAGACATACCTTGTTTTTTTGCTCTTCATTTTATTGTGCTTCACAGATATTGCATTGTTTACAAATTGATCATTTGTGGCAACCCTGCATCAAGCAAGTCTAACAACACCATTTTTCCAAGAGCATTTGCTCACTTCATGTGTCTGTGTCACATTTTGGTAATTCTCACAATATTTCATACTTTTTCATTATCACATTTGTTATGATGACCTGTGATCAGTGATCTTGATGTTACTATTCTAATTATTTTGGGGCACCACAAACTGTACCCGTATAAGGCAGTGAACTTAATAAATGTTGTGTGTATTCTGACTGCTCCATCAATCAGCCATTCTCCCATCTCTCTCTCCCACTTCTCCGGCCTCTCTATTCCCGGAGACAATGATACTGAAATTAGGCCAGTTAATAACCATACAATGGCCTCTAAGTGTTCAAGTGAAAGGAAGAATCAATGGACGTGGCAAACTTCATTGTTGTCTTACTTTGAGAATTGCCGCGGCCACCCCAACCTTCAGCAGCCATCACCCTCTTCAGTCAGCAGCCATCCACATCGAAGCAAGATGCTCCACCAATGAAAGGCTTATGACTCGCTGAAAGCTCACATGAGGATTAGCATTTTTTAGCAATAAAGTATTTTTTAATTAAGGTATGTACATTGTTTTTTAGACATAATGCCATTGCACACTTAATAGACTATAGTATAGTATAAACGTAACTTTTATATGCACTAGGAAACCAAAAAATTCGTTTAATTGTGCTATTTACTTTATTGTGGTGGTCTGGAAAACCAAACCCAAAAATATCTCCAAGGTATGCTTGGATTTCTATGAACATGCTTGAATTTTATCCTCTGGTCCAGTTACTGTTTGAGCCTTTCAGGTCTTACTTTTATGTTTTGTTAGGTGAGTTTGAGCAGTGCTTAGTCTAGGGCTAATTATTCCCCACTACTGAGAAAACCCTTCTCAGCATTTTACCCATGCCTCTGGAATTATGAGGTTTTAGAGTCTGATTGGCAAGAGAGGCACTGTGAGCCCTGCGGAAGCTCCAGATGCTGTTCCTTATGCTCTTAGTAGAGGACTCTTTCTCCAGGCTCAAGTAGTTTTCTTACACGCATGCTGCTCAGCATTCTCTCCCCATACTTGTCGGGGTCCCTTTGCTAATCTCTGGGTCCCCCTCTCCGTGTAGCTCTATCCTTTCCAGTTACCTATCCTGTGAACTCTGGCCACCATGGTCTTCTCAGGCCCTCAGTTCTGTTTCCTCCACCAGATAGTCCACCAGATAACTTCTGGGTTCCCCGCAACCCCCAACCCCCTTGTGTCCCACAAACTTTCTCAAAGCAGGAAGCTGGGGCAATCATGGGTTCACTTTGTTTCTTTTATCCATCTCTCAGGACTGATGTCCTTTCTCTTGAAAACCATCATCTCGTAACATTTTTGTCTTGTGGGTTGTTTTTCTGTTTGTTTTTTGGTTTTGTTGGTTGGTTGGTTATTTCAAGCAGGAGGATAAATTTGGGTCCTATTACTCCATCTTGGCAAAGAAAGAGAAATAAGTCATTTTTTTCCTGCTTCAAGGTCATTTGGGGTTCAACAGATCTAATCTGGGCTCTTTGAGAGTTGTTTGGACTCAGTTGATTTCTGTATATTATATATTATATATGTATTATGTATCATGTATTATGCATATATGTGTAATATTTGTTATGTTTTATGTATATGTATTTTGAACAAAGAATGCTTGGCTTAGTTAAAACTGTAAATTAGTCTGAACATTTTACAAAGAAGTAAATATTAGCTACTAGGATCTTTTTGGATAGAATGCTACTGATCTCAAAGAAGTCATGGGTATAGTGTTGAAATTTACTTAGATTCTAGTCTCGATTTCTAGGAAGAAATGTGTATTTATAAAAGTAACTATGGAAATTAGCATTCAACACCTGTATTTTCCTTTTTGAAAATTAGAGAACAATGTATATAAAAATATGCAAGAATCACAGGAAATCCACATATCCAACCACCTAGATGGAAGTGTTGCTGCTGTCAGCGTAACGCCTAGAGAGAAGTTCCGCAACAAGCTGCCTCCGACAGCACTCTTCCAGCCTCCACGAGAGAAACTCCTTCTCTGTGAAGAGAAAGCGAAGTCCTATTCCAGCAGTCATGAAGTAAGGAGGCTTTCTTTTTTCCACCTTAGCTCTGGTAATTGAGAGGTTACTTTCCTACTCTCAAGGGTTTGATACAAGAGAGTACTGCATTATGTTTGCTGAATGAATGCACAAATGAACAAACAAATACACCCTGACCTCTGGCAAGTGTATACTAGACCGATTGGTTGTAGGTTTGACCTACTGCATTCATTTTCCATCGGTCAATAACTATTTATTGAGCTCTCCTGTGTGCCAGGCCCAGGCACTGGACTACAGCACAAACTAGATGAAGCTTCCGCTCTTGTAGAGCTTAAGATTCTGATGTTCTTCATCTTCTTGTTCTCTGCTTAGTTCTTTCCCAGTCTCTTCTCAGCTTCACTCACTCAGTCCATATGCATTTCTCTATCCCTCTTATGTGCTGGAACCTGCTTGTCTGTTCTCTTAGTTCACAGATATCTCCTGTAAACATCATGTGTGCCACAGATGCAGAAGCACAGAGGGGAGAGCTACAGCCTCTGCCTGGAGGGACTCATGGTTTGGGAAGATAGTCAGTGTGATAAGCTCTGTGATGGACACAACTCTGGTGAAATAGATGCACAATAAGGGGGAAGAGGATGAGCCCGGAGATGGTGGAGGGACTGCAATCAAAGCATGCTTCTTAGGATGGGGTTGCTTAGGGAAGGAAGGGGGTGATAGTGTTCTGGGCAGAGACAGAAGATGGGTAAGAAGAGTAGAGATGGTGGGATCTTTTGATAAGATTGTGGAAAGGTGAATCAGTGGGACCTGGGAGACCAAGAGGACATAGGGATTGAAGAGGTAACAGTGAGCTAGAGAAGATGTGTACAATTCCTGACTTAGGTCTCAGCCGCCTCGGGAGACTCGAGGCTTGCCAGTGCCCATCATCCTTATAATGAATGCGGGAAGAAGAGCAGGATTATGGAGAGGGTATCATCTCAGTTTTGAATATGTGCTTATTCATTATGCAGCAGATGTTTATTCAGCACCTGATATTGCCAGGTCCTGTGCTAGGTAGGCATTAGGCCAGCAGCTTTTCCCAACCAGAGTACTGCACGAGAATAAAGCCCAAATGCCCTAAGGCAGTTAGTGTATATAAAGAATAACCTCTGTGCATCCTGAACGGTACAAAAGTATTTTCTGTGCTCTGCAGTGCAGATGAGGAACCCCTGGATGCAGCAGTGAACAGGACAGACAGGTTGCCTGCCCTCGTGGAAGTGAGGGACAACTGACATGACATTGTTAATAAACCAGCTGACTAGGGAATGTACAAGTGCTATGGAGGAAACAGAGTGGGCCTATCTTGGGTAGAGTGGTCAGGGGGTTGGGGGGCCACTGTGAACAGGTGACATATGAGCTGAGACCTGAAGAGAAGGAGCCAGCACGGAGTAGCTGAGGGAAAAGAGTTTCAGGAAAGGAACAGTACACATAAAATCTGTAAGGTAGGCACACGTTTGAGTGGAAAAGGGAAGCGGCAGGCCAGCGTGAAATGCAGTTGAGGAGGCGGTCAGCCCTGAGGGCTTTATAGGTCTCAGGCTAAATACCCTGCAAGGCCTTCAAAGTGTTTTCAGGAAAGTATTAACTTGATAAAATTTGCTTCTTAAAATGTTCATTTTTTTTGGTAATTTTTTATTTTAAAATACTTTCAGATTTACCGAAAAGTTGCAAGATTCACCAATTTTTAACATTTACTTTATTGCTTTATTTTTCTCTGTGTGTCAGTTTTCTCAACTATCTGAGAATAAGCTACAGATGTTATAGCCCTTTAACCCTAAATACCTCAGTGTACATTTCCTAAGAATAAAGGATATTTTCCTATATAACCACAGTACAGTAATTGAAATTAGGAAATTAATATTGGTATATTGCTATTATCTAATCTACAAACCTTTATCCATATTTCTCCAGTAATCTCAGTACTGTCTTTTACAGAAAAAAAAAAAATCAGACAGATCTGTGCTCTGGTTCATCAATTAGCTGAATATAGCTGCCAAGGCTCCTTTGGTTTCTAGTCTACAAGAACAGTTCCTTAGCCTCTCTTTGTAGTTGATGATCTTGGTGTTTTTTGAAGTACTGTTATTAGTCTGCTTGGGTGGCCATAATAAAATACCATAGACTGGGGGGCTTAAACAACATAAGTTTATTTCTCACAGTTCTGGAGACCAGAAGTCCAAGATCAAGGTGCCAGTAGGATGGATGTCTGGTGAGAGCCCTCCCCTTGGGTTGCAGAGGGTGCCTGCTTGCTCTGTGCTCACAGGGCCTCTTTGTGTGCATGTGGGAGGGGGAAAGCTGTGGGAAATGGTGACACTTCTTGTAAGAAAACTAATCTTATTAGATCAGAGCTCCACCTTTATGACCTCATTTAACCTCAGTTTCTTCCATAGAGGCCCTATCTCCACATGCCAAAATGAGGGTTAAGGCTTCAACATACGAATTTGATGGGGTTACAAACACTCAGTTCATAACAAATGTACTCTAATTACTTTGTAGAATAGCTCTCATTTTTCATGTGTTTCCTTTTGGTTAGGTTCAGGCTATCCATTTTGGACAAGGATTCCATAGACATGATACAGGGCCCTTTTAGTGCATTGTATCAAGAGGCATATAGTGTCTGTTTGTCTTATTACTATGGTGATAACTTTGATCTCTTGGTTAAGGAGCTCATTGGCAGGTTTCCTCACTAGAGAATTACTGATTCTTCCCTTTGTAATCAGCTATTGCTATGATGCTTGTCAAATGGTGATGCTCTGACTTCAGCATTTTTTCAACATTTACCTGTTGGCGTTCTTTTATAAGGAAAAGCTTTTCCATATTCACACTTTATTACTCACTTATTTATGTCAGTACAGATTCAGGAAATCCTGTTTTTCAAATGTGTTACAATCCATTATTACTATCGAAGCTTCAATTTCCCCATATTTGCCAGTATTTGCCCCTTCAAACTAGCTCCTGAGTCCTTGATACAGTCTCCTTAATCTTTCCTTGACTTCTGGTACAGAAGGACTTCCTTGATTTCAGGTTCATTTTCCACTTTCCCTGCACCAGCTGCGATTCAGAAAACCCTAGTTCCTCTTAGTGAAGAATTATGTTTAGATACCAAGATGTGGGTATTAAATACCCTTTTATAAACATATATGGCCAGGCCTACTGATCTTCAGAGTTGCCTGTTTTAATTTGAAGAAGTTTAAGGCATTCCAGGTAGCTCAAGAATGGTGCAGTGGAAGCAGCTGTGGACTCTGCATCAAGATGTTTGACTCCAAGTTCTGACTCTACCAGTTGATGGCCAATCATCTCACATCTCTGGACTCACATTTCTTCTTTAAATAGAGAGGATAAGATCAGATTACTTCCAATGCTTGCCCCATTTCTACCTGCTTGTACTTCTCTTCTGTCTACTCCCTACCCATGCTTGTATAAGCAGAAGAAAGGTTGAAAAGCCAAAGGGTTGTGTGGACTGTTCATTCTAGCAAACAGGAGAGTGGAGGGAGGACAGGTTCCCATTGCAGGTAGTGAGGACCAAGGCTATGACCTGGGTGGCCTGGCTCGGTCCACAGAGCCCCCTTCAAGAAATCTGGGGTTGGGGCAGATCCACTATCAGATCAAGTCCTTGCTCTTTTTGGCAGACTGTCCCCAGTGTTTTACTAATTTTTTTCTCATGCCCTGTATGTATTTGCTCTCTGTCCAAGGAAGCCATTCCTTAATCTTTCCATCTCTAGAGGCAATGAACAGATAATTCCCAAAAGGAGAAATACAGAGAGCCAATAAACATATGAAGATGCTTAGCCTCCCAGTATGGAGAAAAAAATGCAAAGTAAAACAAGGAGAAATGTGTGAGCTTGTGAGCTGACAAGCTGACAAACGGTAGTACCGTTTGTGCTCAGCGCTACGTAAGGGGCATCCCTCACTCACACCACTGTGCTTGAAGTATGGATCTGCACAACCTCTTGAGAAATAGAAATAGCTATACAAAGCTTCTGAATTTTGTATATCCTTTACCCAGTAATCACATTTCTAGGACTTCATTCTAAGGAAATACTTAATGGGTGTGAGCAAAGCTATCCACACCAGATGTTCAGAGAGCAAAAGACATAAAAACAACATAAATGCTTAATAATAGTGGATTAAGACACTCAATGATGATATATTCATACAATAAAATACTCTGCAGCTATTAAAAACTATAGCATAGGAGTGACTTGGAGAAATATTCATAAATTGTTAAAATAGGTAGTTGTAAAGCCATATGTAGACTATGAGCCTGTTTTTGAAAAAGGTAAATACATAGATTCATAGAACTAAAAAATAGAAGGATGTGTAGCTACCTGGTTATCTCTAGGAGGTGAGCTAGCAAGTGATTCATTATTGTGTTTTTCTTGCTCATATGTACTTTGACAATGAGCATGTATTACTTTTGTAATAAGAAGAAATGTTACTATTGAAAAAAGCCACAGCTCCATCTGTTTCATTACTGTGGGGTGAGCATGGTGTCCCTCACCTTCCTCCTATTAGGTCACAAAAGTGACTGTCGTGTGGTCAACTGTCTATTTTTATCAAGAAGAATGTTGTTAAACAGCATCAGACTTACAGACTTCAAGAAGGGACCAGCAGTTACCAAAGGGAAGGGGTAGGGGAGGGTGGGCAGGAAGGAAGAAGGGGATTAAGGGGCATTGTGATTAGCACAGATAATGTAGAGGGGGCAAGGGAAAGGCAGTATAGCACAGGGAAGACAAGTAGTGACTCTATAGCATCCCACTATCCTGAGGGACAGTGACTGCAATGGGGCTGGTGGGGGGGACTTGATAATATGGGTGAATGTTGAAACCACAATGTTGCTCATCTGAAACTTTCCTAAGACTGTATATCAGTGATGCCTTAATAAAAAAAACAAAAGAAAAAGAAGAATGCTTCAGGGTGAAAGTGCGTTTAGTCCCTCTGGGACAGTGTGGAGCTTAGGCACGGACTGGGGGTACCCCCCAGGTCTTCTCCTGGATCTTCTGCACAGGTCCGTCCTTGTTCTCACCTTTCTTCCATACTTTGCCCCCTTCAGCTTTCTTTAATCAGTGGTCCTACTCCCTACCTTCTCTCTCACTATTCCAGTTACTCATTGCTACATAATACCCCAATGCTTAGAGGTGTAAGATAAAAACAGCCATTCATTTTGTTCATGAACCTTCACTTTGTGCAGAGCTCGGTGGGGACGGATTAGCTCTGCTTCACACAGCGTCAGCTGGGCTCAACCTGTGTGGAGAATCCCCTGCCAGGCTGGCCCACCTCTACAGTTGACTAACCGGCACCAACTATGGGTGCCTGTCCACTGGGGCCTTTCCATGGGGCCATTTGGGCTTCCTCATGGCATCTTGCTTGGGTTATTAGTTTGCTAGGGCTGCCGTACAAAATACGTCAGGCTGGGCTGCTAACAGCAGAAGTTAATTTTCTCACAGTTCTGGAGGCTAAAGCCCAAGATCGCAGGGCTGGCAGGGTTGATTTCATTTGGGGGTCTCTCTCCTTAGCTGATGAGGGCTGCCCTCTCGCTGGGTCCTTGCATGGTTTCTCTTTGTGCGTGCCCTCTCTGGCATCTCCTCCTCCTAGGACATTAATCATATTCGATTAGGGCCCTCCCCTAATGGCCTCATTTTAACCTACCTCTTTAAAGACCATCTCTCCACATATGGTCAGATTCTGAAGTACTTGGGACTTCAGTTTTGAGGTCGGACAGCGGTGGGTGTATGGGGGTGGTGGGACACAATTCAGTAACAGGTTCCAGTAGTACCTCAGAAGAGAAAGAAAGTAGAAGCTGCTAGTTTCTTAAGACCTGGGGCTGAAAACTGGCTCTGTATCATTTCCTCCATATTCTGTTGGCCAGACAGTCATAAGGCCCAGATTCAAAGGAATGGGGACACAGCCCCCTATTTCTGCATGGAAGCAACATCAGAGAATTTTGGAGCTGTATTTCAAAACTACCAGCCTTTCTTTGAATGTACTGCTGCTCTGAGCTGACCTGGAGCTGGAAATCCAGTTCCCTGTTCTCTGTGTCCTGGCACTGAATGCAAATATGATTCTCACTCCTTTCATGAAATTGTCGGGCAGTCCTGCCAACCTCATTTGCTATGCTATTGTCTTAGGCTGCTAAGGAAGTATTTACATTGAGGCCTAGAGTCATTATTTGAAAACCACTACCACTTGCCCACTGGTTGTGCCTGAATATGTAGTAACTGTTCATTCATGGGCAGATGGAAAACTTAAATAATGATAGATGAATGCTGTATGGTTTCTATTCTCCTTTATTTCATTACTTTTTTATCATGTATTATAAATTTGAAAGTACTATAAATTTAAGTCTACTATATGTTTTACTAGTTTCTTCTGTTTATTGCCTATTTCATTGTGCCAGATGAACGGCCTACTGTCCAAAACAGCTCTTTATCTGTTCTGTTCTCTAATGTATCCCAAGGGCTTGGAACCAAGTCTAACACATAGTAGGCACTTAATAAATATATATGGAATGGACAGAAGTGCAATTGATTCTGTGCTTTGTGACTCTGCGATTTCAGTTGTCCCACCGTTGAGCCCATTTTCTCTTCCTCCCAGTATAAACAGGCTATCCGGGAGCTTGTGCGCTGTGTAGCCTTGACAAGAATTTGCTACGGAGACTCACACTGGAAACTAGCAGAGGCGCATGTTAATCTGGCTCGGGGCTACCTTCAGCTGCAGGGTGAGTTCATCTCAGATTGAAGAGGGCCATTTGGTTGCTTTCAACTCTTTTCCCCAAATCTGACTTGTATTTAACTGGAAAGATTAGGTTTTCTTGGGTATTCTCCTCTACCCATTGAGAAGTCATGTCCTTTCAGGAAGAGTCAATGGGATTTTTTTATACACTACATAAAAAAAGAAAGAAAATCTTAGCCCTTCCGAGTTTTGTTTTTTATGATCTTATAAGTAAGGTTCTTGGGAGTGAATTCATTTGTTTTCTTGAAAACGTTGTAGGAAGGACTTAGGGGTCTAAAATGGGATCCATTCACAATTGTATTGATGGAGAGCCTCTTGTCTGTTAAATGACTGCCCCCCCACCACCACCAATAAATAAAAAACTAAATCAAGCTGGCAATAAACAAAAGGTAATGTATTAAAAAAGTTAATGTGTTGGCTCATACAGCTTAAAAATCCAAGGGTAAAGCTTACTGTAGACTTACCCAAGTCCAGGTGTTCAAACATTATGATCAGATTCTGTTTCTTTCTTTTCCCACCACCTGGCTCTGCTTTTCTCTCCATTTTCAGCCAGGCTGTGCTCACATAGCTGCAGCCAGGCTGCCAGAGCTTTAGACTTCCCTCCTCAGCATTCCCGGGAAAATAGGAATGTCTCTCCACCCAAATGTCAGGATTTGGGGCTTCTAATTGGACTGACTTGGGTTGTATGACAAGGCACAGAATAGTCTGATTGGTTAGATCTGCCTTTTGGCGCCACCAAATCCTGGGGGACAGGCTGGCCTTGGCTAGATCACATGGATTGGTTATGCAGAGGTGAGGCATTCCACAGCCCCCCACAAAAAAACAGAGAAAGGGAGAATGCATACAGGGAAGGCAAAAAGAACAGGATGTCATGTCTTCTCCTTTCTAACTGGGCAACCACAGTCTAGCAGTACTAGAGGACATCTCTGTACTCTGTTTCTTCCACTGGGAAGTGATGGTAATGAAGATCATGATAACTTCTCAGAACTGGTCCAGTGAACAAAATACAAAAGTGGAAAACACCATAATAAATTTGGCCAAATCTGATTATAGATTGGTCCGACCTGTTAGATCAAAGACTCTTAGAACCAGAGGGCCAGAGGGGACCTTGGCAATCATCTAGTTCAAACCCCCTGATTCTAGTTCAAACCTCCTATTTTCTAGATTCAGAGGACACAGTGAGTCTAAGTCGAAACTGCTTGCCCCAAATCACACTGTTAATGAGCAGCTGATCCGAGCCCAGGATTTTGGATGCCTGTACCAGCGTCCTGGCATCTGAGATTTCAAATGTTGCTTTTATTCTACATTCTGCTACCTTTCTGCATGATAGTCTTTCTTTCTCAATTTAAAGTAAAAGCAGTATCTACTATACATTAAGGTTGTATTGAATGCCAGGCACCATGCTATTTTCCATGCGTAGTCTTATTCCCTCTTTACCACAATCTTATAAGGTGTACAATGTTATTATCCCTGTTCCTAGTTGATGAAGCTGAAGCCAGCATTTCAGAGTCTGGTGGAACAAGCAATCCATTCTGGGCAATCTGCCTTCAGAGCCAATGCTCTTAAAGCTCAGCCCATTCTGCCTCCCAGAGATTGAGTTGAAGTTCCTGGAGGGAACCAGTCAAAGTTAAAAATACAGTGCACCACTGTGACATCTTGCTGCACTGATGGACAGTGACTGCAATGGAGTTTGGTGGGGGGGGGGACTCGATAATAGGGGTGAATGTATTAACCGCATTGTTTCTCTTGTGAAGCCTTCATAAGAGTGTATATCAATGATACTTAATAAAAAAAATACAATGCACCAGGCCTTTTGTGGTATTGCATGCATAATTGACACTAATAAATTTCTGGTACGTTGAATACATGTGTGCTTTAAAAAAAAATAAGACAAAATTCTGTAAAAATTCCCACATGAAGAGCATGCCCTGGATTTTCTCCATAAGAAAATATATTTTTTCTGTTGTTTAGACATAGGGACAGAATGAACTTCATATTTTGACTTATTTTTAGAGTTTTGAGATATGCTTTCATATAAAGAAGAACAAGATCAGGGTGTATAGATGGGGGTAGCAGAGGGTGTCCGTGTTAGGGAGAAGGAAGGGAGTGTGGGGATGTCAAAGCCCTGGAACCTAATGGGTGATCCCAGTGTCACACTTGCCACAAGTTAACAAATCCGTGGAAGAACACTTCCATGTACTCAGAAGTTATTCTTGGTAGTAAATTTTTTTTTCTCTCCAGTTTGTTTCATTTTAGTCTATTGTCACAGGAATAAGAGATTGTAGCACGTTGGGGCCCACTACCACATTGGAAGTGTATTTGTAAGTTTTGTAGATATCATCGTATTTGTATTATGTTAAAATAGCTCCCTGAAGTTCTGACTACAGATGAGTGAGCAGAAGATTCAGAATTTTTAGTTCTTCATTATGACTGCTGGCATAAAGCCAGGATTAAAACTCACGAAGATCTTATTTCCTGCCCAGAATGCCATAGTCCTGCATTCCATTTGCTATGATTATTTAAAAACATATTTTATGTCTGATATTGTTGAGGTTTCAGAGTTGTTCAATTCCTACTCATTCTGTTTATTTTAGTTCTAAAAAGACCATTTTGGGAAAATTGTATCTTGAATACAATTTTTTTTTGTATGTAAAGCACATGTTTGGCTTTTATAGTCCTGATAGTATTTCAAGCTGCCCTGATGCCTCTCCATGCGCCAATAGACATGTGAAGGTGTCCTCATTAGTTCCCCGACCGTAGGTAACTGTATTCCTGTCCAGCTGAGATGAAAGAGAAACTGAGACCTCTTTTTCTTTGCTCACAGGGCTGTCACTGCAGGCAAAACAACACGCAGAAAGAGCCAAGGAAATCCTCACCAGCTCCATTGTGCCTCCTTATGACGACAGCACCGATGTTTTCAAGTGTTCGGTTGAGCTATTCCACACCATGGGGAGAGCCTTACTCTCCCTTCAAAAGTATCCTTTTGCCTCTAATCTTCACAAATAGAAATGCCTTTCATAATACTTATATTTCATTTTCAAGACCAAGTCAAAAGCTGACAGATGCCTCAGTAGGGGTGATGGGAAGTATGAGCACCAGGGATGTCCAGGAATTGGGGCCCCGGAGTCAAGAACTGAGTGTAAAGTTTCCTGAACACAATTCAGATTTAAGGAAGCTTCAGAGAATTTGGCAAAAGCAGAGAGACTTTCAAAGGAGCTGCTGCAGTGTGGAAGGATTACGAGAGAAGAATGGATGGAAATTCAAGCAAGGATCAAATTGTCATTTGCACAGTGAGTTTCCAGTGTAGGACTTGTATATGTGATGGCTGGAGATTGTTTGGCAAAAGCATCTGTCTTCAGGCAGGAGTTGCTCCTCCATGATGCTGTGCCCATGGCTTCTCTATGACCATTGTCCAGAAGTAAAAGACCACCACCCATGGTTATGTCAGAGCAGACGCAGCCAGGACATACACATCAGTGACACTTCACCGAAAGCAAAGCCCTCTCATATATCCCACCTCCCCACTCCCCACTCTGCGCCACCCTGGCTGGGTCCCGGAGTGCTGGTGTCATTCTCTCTTTCTTACCTGCTCTCCATGCCCTCTCATCCTGGCTCCTGCACCATTATTTCCCAACTCCCATCTGCTTCTTATTTCCTCCACTGGTTTAGTCTAAAATATTTCAATACATTGAATTTATGATTAAGGCTCCAAAGGAGAAAGATCCTAAAGATATCTGAATTGATGAGAATGAGAGGTTTTTTTCTTTGTTCGTTCCGCTCCCACCCGACACTCACTAAATAAACCCAGCTGACAGATACAATGCTTGGAGGCCAGGTAAGGGGATGAGCCTTGGGTATGCAGACCTTTGGAACGGTGCATGTGGGAGGAAGAGGGTGGTGGAAAGTCTGTTCTGGAAGAGGCAGAGAATCCCCAGCCAACCTGCAGGGTGGCCCTTAGCCAAAGGTGGAAGAATTTAGTTTACCTTTATAACCAGGCTGCATGTACAAGCTGATTCCCAAGACAACTCAGAGAACCTGTGGAATCATTTTATGAAGGAAAGAGCCCTGAGAGAGGACACCTAATGCTTCCATGTGTTGGAAGCTGGGAAGGACCAGCTTCGACTTGTGCTTTGAAAGATACGTTTTTCTGATCATGATTGTCATTCTTGTCATTTGTTTTTTACCTAGTGGGAAGTGGGGTGGGTGGCGTTTGGACATGAAGTGCAGAGAATTCATCAGTCCATGCAAGGCCTTTGGTATACTCTTTAAAATTGTCTTCCTTTTGTATCTTAGGATTTGGGGCTTCTAATTGGACTGACTTGGGTTGTATGACAAGGCACAGAATAGTCTGATTGGTTAGATCTGCCTTTTGGCGCCACCAAATCCTGGGGGACAGGCTGGCCTTGGCTAGATCACATGGATTGGTTATGCAGAGGTGAGGCATTCCACAGCCCCCCCCAAAAAAACAGAGAAAGGGAGAATGCATACAGGGAAGGCAAAAAGAACAGGATGTCATGTCTTCTCCTTTCTAACTGGGCAACCACAGTCTAGCAGTACTAGAGGACATCTCTGTACTCTGTTTCTTCCACTGGGAAGTGATGGTAATGAAGATCATGATAACTTCTCAGAACTGGTCCAGTGAACAAAATACAAAAGTGGAAAACACCATAATAAATTTGGCCAAATCTGATTATAGATTGGTCCGACCTGTTAGATCAAAGACTCTTAGAACCAGAGGGCCAGAGGGGACCTTGGCAATCATCTAGTTCAAACCCCCTGATTCTAGTTCAAACCTCCTATTTTCTAGATTCAGAGGACACAGTGAGTCTAAGTCGAAACTGCTTGCCCCAAATCACACTGTTAATAAGCAGCTGATCCGAGCCCAGGATTTTGGATGCCTGTACCAGCGTCCTGGCATCTGAGATTTCAAATGTTGCTTTTATTCTACATTCCGCTACCTTTCTGCATGATAGTCTTTCTTTCTCAATTTAAAGTAAAAGCAGTATCTACTATACATTAAGGTTGTATTGAATGCCAGGCACCATGCTATTTTCCATGCATAGTCTTATTCACTCTTTACCACAATCTTATAAGGTGTGCAATGTTATTATCCCTGTTCATAGTTGACGAAGCTGAAGCCAGCATTTCAGAGTCTGGTGGAACAAGCAATCCATTCTGGGCAATCTGCCTTCAGAGCCAATGCTCTTAAAGCTCAGCCCATTCTGCCTCCCAGAGATTGAGTTGAAGTTCCTGGAGTGAACCAGTCAAAGTTAAAAATACAGTGCACCACTGTGACATCTTGCTGCACTGATGGACAGTGACTGCAATGGAGTTTGGTGGGGGGGGGGACTCGATAATAGGGGTGAATGTAATAACCGCATTGTTTCTCTTGTGAAGCCTTCATAAGAGTGTATATCAATGATACTTAATAAAAAAAATACAATGCACCAGGCCTTTTGTGGTATTGCATGCATAATTGACACTAATAAATTTCTGGTACGTTGAATACATGTGTGCTTTAAAAAAAAATAAGACAAAATTCTGTAAAAATTCCCACATGAAGAGCATGCCCTGGATTTTCTCCATAAGAAAATATATTTTTTCTGTTGTTTAGACATAGGGACAGAATGAACTTCATATTTTGACTTATTTTTAGAGTTTTGAGATATGCTTTCATATAAAGAAGAACAAGATCAGGGTGTATAGATGGGGGTAGCAGAGGGTGTCCATGTTAGGGAGAAGGAAGGGAGTGTGGGGATGTCAAAGCCCTGGAACCTAATGGGTGATCCCAGTGTCACACTTGCCACAAGTTAACAAATCCGTGGAAGAACACTTCCATGTACTCAGAAGTTATTCTTGGTAGTAAATTTTTTTTTCTCTCCAGTTTGTTTCATTTTAGTCTATTGTCACAGGAATAAGAGATTGTAGCACGTTGGCCCACTACCACATTGGAAGTGTATTTGTAAGTTTTGTAGATATCATCGTATTTGTATTATGTTAAAATAGCTCCTTAAAGTTCTGACTACAGATGAGTGAGCAGAAGATTCAGAATTTTTAGTTCTTCATTATGATTGCTGGCATAAAGCCAGGATTAAAACTCACGAAGATCTTATTTCCTGCCCAGAATGCCATAGTCCTGCATTCCATTTGCTATGATTATTTAAAAACATATTTTATGTCTGATATTGTTGAGGTTTCAGAGTTGTTCAATTCCTACTCATTCTGTTTATTTTAGTTCTAAAAAGACCATTTTGGGAAAATTGTATCTTGAATACAATTTTTTTTTGTATGTAAAGCACATGTTTGGCTTTTATAGTCCTGATAGTATTTCAAGCTGCCCTGATGCCTCTCCATGCGCCAATAGACATGTGAAGGTGTCCTCATTAGTTCCCCGACCGTAGGTAACTGTATTCCTGTCCAGCTGAGATGAAAGAGAAACTGAGACCTCTTTTTCTTTGCTCACAGGGCTGTCACTGCAGGCAAAACAACACGCAGAAAGAGCCAAGGAAATCCTCACCAGCTCCATTGTGCCTCCTTATGACGACAGCACCGATGTTTTCAAGTGTTCGGTTGAGCTATTCCACACCATGGGGAGAGCCTTACTCTCCCTTCAAAAGTATCCTTTTGCCTCTAATCTTCACAAATAGAAATGCCTTTCGTAATACTTATATTTCATTTTCAAGACCAAGTCAAAAGCTGACAGATGCCTCAGGAGGGGTGATGGGAAGTATGAGCACCAGGGATGTCCAGGAATTGGGGCCCCGGAGTCAAGAACTGAGTGTAAAGTTTCCTGAACACAATTCAGATTTAAGGAAGCTTCAGAGAATTTGGCAAAAGCAGAGAGACTTTCAAAGGAGCTGCTGCAGTGTGGAAGGATTACGAGAGAAGAATGGATGGAAATTCAAGCAAGGATCAAATTGTCATTTGCACAGTGAGTTTCCAGTGTAGGACTTGTATATGTGATGGCTGGAGATTGTTTGGCAAAAGCATCTGTCTTCAGGCAGGAGTTGCTCCTCCATGATGCTGTGCCCATGGCTTCTCTATGACCATTGTCCAGAAGTAAAAGACCACCACCCATGGTTATGTCAGAGCAGACGCAGCCAGGACATACACATCAGTGACACTTCACCAAAAGCAAAGCCCTCTCATATATCCCACCTCCCCACTCCCCACTCTGCGCCACCCCGGCTGGGTCCCGGAGTGCTGGTGTCATTCTCTCTTTCTTACCTGCTCTCCATGCCCTCTCATCCTGGCTCCTGCACCATTATTTCCCAACTCCCATCTGCTTCTTATTTCCTCCACTGGTTTAGTCTAAAATATTTCAATACATTGAATTTATGATTAAGGCTCCAAAGGAGAAAGATCCTAAAGATATCTGAATTGATGAGAATGAGAGGTTTTTTTCTTTGTTCGTTCCGCTCCCACCCGACACTCACTAAATAAACCCAGCTGACAGATACAATGCTTGGAGGCCAGGTAAGGGGATGAGCCTTGGGTATGCAGACCTTTGGAACGGTGCATGTGGGAGGAAGAGGGTGGTGGAAAGTCTGTTCTGGAAGAGGCAGAGAATCCCCAGCCAACCTGCAGGGTGGCCCTTAGCCAAAGGTGGAAGAATTTAATTTACCTTTATAACCAGGCTGCATGTACTAGCTGATTCCCAAGACAACTCAGAGAACCTGTGGAATCATTTTATGAAGGAAAGAGCCCTGAGAGAGGACACCTAATGCTTCCATGTGATGGAAGCTGGGAAGGACCAGCTTCGACTTGTGCTTTGAAAGATACGTTTTTCTGATCATGATTGTCATTCTTGTCATTTGTTTTTTACCTAGTGGGGAGTGGGGTGGGTGGCGTTTGGACATGAAGTGCAGAGAATTCATCAGTCCATGCAAGGCCTTTGGTATACTCTTTAAAATTGTCTTCCTTTTGTATCTCATCCTTCCCCTCCTTCTGCCCACTCACATCATAGGCACATATTTTAATGATGATTTATGTCTTTGAATATGTATCTCTGAATAATAAGTACTATTGTTTCCTGTATTTATGTGTGTTGATCACAAGTCCAATCCCACACCCAAGTGGGCAAGTTGCAATGAGAAAGCACTTAAAGACCAAAGGAAAGAACCAGATACAGCATATGAGACATGAGGGTTTATTGGGACTCAGTACAGGGATCCAGGAGCAGCCAGCTGGGCAAGGCTGCCAACTGCTCTCATGGACAGAAGGTGAACTGCTTCTATGGGGTGAGGGCCAAAGACTGCGTGTGTTCCAAAAGGGTATGTGATTTATGACT